GTAGAAATGGCCATATAATGCGCCATTTCTCGAAATCTCTCACAAGAAGAGAAAAATGGATAATCTATCATACCTCTGGTCGTGTCGGTTGAACACCTAAAAAGTTTTTATTGCCAGATTCGTTCGTTTCGTGCAAAAACGCGTCGAATGAGTGTATTTTTATCAAAATTTGAACTGAACAGGATATTATATACCTTTACCATCCATTTATTCTAGTTTGTTTAATACAAGTCTTAATAACAATGCATTTGAATACTCCCGCGCATTAACCACAACGTACTTCCGGTATCCCTCTAATGATGATCGTTGTCTGATTGTCTGATCCCTTACTTGAGAGTCCCTAAGGAACATTAAACACTGAACTGACTTTCACAGTGGAACAACAAAATTGCACTCAGTGCGCACCAGTGTTGCACCAGTTTTTCCAGTGGAAAACGCTAATAAAAGTTTTCACTTTTCACGTTTCCGCCCTAGAGAAAAAGTTACGTGATTGACCTCCTGAGGCAGTTGATGCGTCTGATCATCATCATCATGTTGATTGTAATTGGCCATGTAGCCGATCCAACGGCAGTCATCAAGGCCAGTAACGAAAGTCGTAATGTGTAAACGAAACAAAGTCGTAGTATGTAAACGAAGAATGATGCAATGCCCGCGAAAAATGGCGAAGCCCGAACGAACACCGGGCGCCTGCGATTGCAACGTCGTCACGCCATTCTAAAGCGGGGAGCACAGACTTTTGCATAAAGGTGCTTTTTCATGCGCAGCACGCTGCAGCAGCAATTCGTTACTATTGGTTAAGAATTTTATGTAAGCTAGATGACCCACTTCCGGCGCAAAATACATTTTGCCGCAGTTCGTTGAAGTTGAACCGAACGAACAGCAAGCAGCAAGCGGCAAAATCGAGAAAGCGTACAATATGTCCGTCGTTTCATTATGAAAATATTATTTATTGCAATAAATATTAGGAAAATAAACGAAAAATGGCTTCGGATAAGGTACGGATACATGTTTGTAAATTAGATCATTTTATACTTTACCACAAATTTGAAAAAGTAAAGTGTAAAGTATAAAATAATCTAATTTACAAACATTCGTACCTTATCCGAAGCCATTCTTCGTTTATTTTCCTAATATTTATTGCAATAAATAATATTGCCTCGATTTTGCCGCTTGCTGCTTGCTGTTCGTTCGGTTCAACTTCAACGAACTGCGGCAAAATGTATTTTGCGCCGGAAGTGCGTCATCTAGCTTACATAAAATTCTTAACCAATAGTAACGAATTGCTGCTGCAGCGTGCTGCGCATGAAAAAGCACCTTAACGCATAAACCATATACATAAAGAATTTGATTGGTCCATTGACTCATGCATAAGAAAATGGACCAATGAAATTCCTTATGCACATGCTTTATGCGTTATGCAAAAGTCTGTGCTCCCCGCTTAACGCGCGTCCGGACGGACGAACGAGCCGAGCCAGACGCGGACACACATCAGTATGGAATTCAAGACACGGTCAAAGTCGGCAACACTTTCTCAAAAATATACAAAAATCGAGCACCCGAACCGAGACGCGTCCGCACCGATCGGGTGGTTCAACGGAACTTTTTTGATGCGTCTGATGCGTTCATGCGGTCTATGCGCATGATTTGTAAAGCGGGGAGCACAGACTTTTGCATAACGCATAATACATATACATAAAGAATTTGATTGGTCCATTGACTCATGCATAAGAAAATGGGCCAATGAAATTCCTTATGCACATGCTTTAAGCATTATGCAAAAGTCTGTGCTCCCCGCTTTTTCGGAACGAGCAACAAGTACCGAACAACACACAGTGAACGGACGAATATTTGCGATTTGTAGTGGAATAGCGATTACAGCAATTGCATGAATTCCCGGTCTTATTAAATGAAGAGGATATGGCGAAAGCAAGCCAAGATAAAATTAATGGCATTATTTTACCTTGATTTATTTAAT